TCAAGTCTTTTGGTCACAGCAATGAGAAAGCTGATGAAAATGCTGTCTCGACCCCAATCCTAAAAACTGTCCTGGTCAAGGCTTTGTAACCCCGTTGCCTAAAATGGGGCTGATTTTCTCTAAAACTAGCTGTGATGTGTGGATGATGATTCCGGAACCTCTAAAGGTACATTTCCATAGAAACCAAAGTAAGTGTTCATGAAAGGTGAAGAGCTCACACTCCAAGCTCTGAGAAAACATAAAAGCGAAAATGCCCTCATGACAAATTTAGTATCATTGAGCCAGGATACAGTCCTCCCTGCCACTATTACCAAATCCAATTCTAGGTGACTTCTGGAACCTAGATTTATTTAGACTGACATCTAGAAGCTTGCATGTTCCACACAGCCAACTGTAGGAAAGGGGGAGGTCAAACTCTTGGATTGTGCTCCACCCTCCTCCTCTACCAGCCTGAAAATCTTCATAATACAAGACAGCTCTGTGATGCTTAAGATAGTAAGATAGCATCACAAAATTAGACAATGGTTGGTAGCAATTATCTTTCGAACTTGACAGACTTGGTTTTGTGTTGTTTTAGGGAATAAAGCATCTAATGGCCACGAATCATGAACACTGCATTTAGCTTTTTTTTTTGCCAAATGCATTGCAACAAATCTACTCTTCATCTTCAGCACTGGACTCTGCCAAATATTCCATCTGAATACCTCATCCAGCTTCTAGAAAAATTTCATCCAAATCTTCTGTTAAGCCTTTCTCAACACTCTGTGTTTACAAAGTACCCACAATAATCTAGTAGCCTAGAGTTGGGTAGCGACCCAAGTCAGCACCTAAATAATGGAATCTTGCCCTCTCACCGTTTGCACTTACTTTACAGAGAAACATCCTCAAGGTTCTATAGAGATTTACAACTAGTTGCCAAGATCTTTTTGGAGTCAGAAATGAAGTGCATGTCTAGACTTTGAAACTTCCACTCCAGGGCTTGTCCCATGCAGACAATGAGGGGCAGCTGAGTGGATGGTGAGGTGAGTAGTGGCAGAAATATCTTCCCTTTTGTTCTGCGATAGTTGCTGAGTTTTCCATGAGGGCTGCTCCTTGGGAGTCTTTCTGATGCAAACACTATGTTGAAGTGTTTTGAGGTGTTACTTAACAGAAGTAACAGTTAGTTAGCTAACAGAGCAACACATTCCCCTTTATCTATACAATCTCATATCACCCACAAAGTAAATAGGTCCTGAAACAAGTAGACTCAGAACAGGCAAGAGTGGATATGTAGAGTGACAAGGAAGGAGAGGACGTTCCAAAGAATGGGGTTGGCCAGGACAAGGATCTATGAAACAACAGTAAAGGAAGGTGATGGCAGGGTGTGGGATGGGAGTACTAGACACAGCTGGCTTTGAAATGGAGGGAAAAGAACAAAAGAAATGAAAACCAGATTTGGTTGAATTTACAAATCGGCCCAGGGCCCATACTGCTTCCCAGAAGAGGAGAAACCAGTGCAGGGAAGATGTGACTGATTTTAGGACAATGTCTTTCAAACTCTGAACTCAAGGTGCCATTCTAAAAGAATGATAAACTCCCAAAGAACTATGAGGTTGAGGGTCTCAGGAGCAGAGCAGGAGCAGGGGACAGATGCAGGGAAGAGGAAGTTCTCTGGGTTGGGAGGAGTAGAGCAGGCAGATGCCTTGGGATTTCTCCATATCCCTCTCCTAGGAGGGTAAATGTGGACTGAGCCTCTGTGTGTACTCTCTGAGTTCATTGTGGTTCTCTGATCTCCTACAGAGAGAGCATGTGAGGAAAAACTGGTGACATAGAGGGCCCTATGTGGACTGTGTCATGAGAAATGTGTCACCAATCTCAGCATAACCTTGCCATTTCTCATCCTCTCTCCCAATGTCTCCTTCTTGCTCCCTCTAGAATTTCCCATCCAAAACTGTTAAGAGATATGGTTTATTTCTCTGATCAAATGTAATTATTTAATGATAAAAGTTTACTTAAATTCTTTTTTAATTATAAAAGCAACGCTGGCAACAGATTCTTCTCTATATCCAAATACTTCTCACATTTTAACTTCACAACTTCCCATGGTCTTACCCTTACTTCCTGAGATGCCCACCCCTTCACTTCTGACCGCTTTCAGTTCCATCAGGATCCATCCCAGGAAACAGGAATGAATATTCCTGCCTTTTCTGACAACTTTTTATCACCAAAGCTTACCTCTTCTATGGTCCATTCCCTAGAAACTTTGCCCAGTACTATCTATTCTGATAAATTAATGCATGCCAAGGGGGTGGAGTTTCTTAGAGTTTGTTAAGTGAATCAAATGAGAGAAATGAATAGATATTCAGGTATATAGGTGAAGCATGAATATTATTTTTATCAGTACATTTAGTTCTCACAGGTAATACACTGATGTTTTAGGAGGGACCCTATGAATGTTAATCAAAATGAGTGGCTCTGTTCTGAGGAACTTTACCTATCAGGGCAGGTTGGCAATGGAAAAGAGGAAGAGGGTGTGAGGTATGAGGCTGCTGCTTTTGGATCTCCTCCACCCACATATTATAAGCCCACTCCTTTTGTGGCTACTGCCCATCCCAAGGCCAAACCACATTTTGCTTCATTCAATTGAACCTTCATGGAAAGAAAAAAATGAAAACCTACTTTGATCTATTGTTAATAAAATAAACTGTTTGAAAGATACAAGAACAGTAATGAACAGTTAGTTCCCAATTATGGAAAACAGCAGTCCTCGGGGCCAAATATCTTACAAAAATCTTCTGCATTCGGCAAAGAATCATTATCTGGGGACTCACAGAAAGGAGAAAAATTGCTTGCATTTCCAGGAGTTAGCTCTGTCAATTTCCAGCTCTGTGTTATGGGATAAGTTGTTTAGCTTCCTGGAGCCTCGTGTGCTTTATCTATAAAATGGGGATAAACATACCTCTGTCCCCAGATGGTCAAGATTCAGTTGAATTGTGACCTATAAGCAATGTAACTCCAGATTAGCTATATAGTAAACAAATGAAAATAGCAACAACCACAGAAGTTATTCCCAGACATGTTGAGAGTGAAAATATTTGGCCTACAAAAGATACTCGAAGGTAGCTGTAGTATACATATTATTAAAATGACTTGGACATGGTTTGAATTTGAGGATTGCACATTGTCCTTTGAGACAGCTGGCAAAATCCTGAAGTGTCTCAACCTCAGGGACAGGAATTTCTGCCCTCGAGGTAGACATTACCTGTCTCTGGCAGCTGATGAAGACAGATTGAGGGCCTGGCAACCCCTGCAGCAGGCACCCAATCCCTGTCCTTTCCCTCACCTCGATCTCTTCCACCCACCCACGCGCTCCCCTCCCGGCTGTGAGAGCCTGGAAGAGTCTGTCTAATCTGAACTTGGAGAGCAGCGCTCTTTTGCCTTTAAAATGCTTGCCCAGCTTAATCAGTTACCAGCAGCCCTCTACTGCCAGTTACTCTCCTGCCCTGACATGAGCCTCCTCTCCTGCCAGCCTGCAGATGTGACTTTTTTAGGAAGAGTCAATTCCCAGCCTTCACCCTTCCTGCCAATGACAGCCTCCCTCTTTGAAGGTTACCTGTCACTGGTGTTCTTGCACATGAATGCAAAGTAAAGTGGGTGCTTGTCCTGACCTTGAGAAGCACGTCAGTGTGCATATAAGTTCTGAAACAGAGCACTTGACATTTGCTGTCTTATTTGTGTCAGGACTGAGAAGAGGAAGCCTCGTGTGGAGGGATACTCTCTTAGGTCTGGGGATGTGGCTTGTGAATGGCACTTGTCAACTAAACCTTGCAGTGATATTCAGCAGGCATGATGGGGAGGAAATGTTAATGAAATCCTGCCTAACTGCCGGAACACATTTGAATAGAATCAAAGTCATATGTGGATTTTTTTTTTCCTCGTATACTAAGTCTTCTCGGCATATATTAACCTTTTTGCCAGCTTGAAAAAATAAAAAGGCACAAAACTAAGATGATTCACTCATTCAATCATTCTTCCAACATTTATGGAGCACCCATTATGTACCAGGCCCTGTACCCAGAACTAGGGGGGAAAAAATTGAATGAGGCATGAACTTCTTTAGGAAAACAATCTATTATTCAACATTTTATGGTGAGAACCCAAATTCTCAGCTTATTGAAAAAAAACAAAGGGTGACATGGATTTTTAGACCCTTTGCTTCATTTGGTTATAGGCAAAGAGGAAGGTAAGACCCTTCAAAAGAGCAAATAGAGTGTTAAATTAGCTAGGATGTACTTGGAACTTGGAACAATTTTGTACAGGAATAAAGCTTGCTGGGTTATGGGGAAGAGACTTCCAAGCAACTAGAATAGATGGAGCCATCGTGGGCAGACAATCAGGAGAGTGCCTAGACTTGCCATTGTTCGTAAAATAGTCTTTTCAAGCAAGAAAAGCCTACAATCGAAATCACCAATCTGGGCTGACCCTCCCTTGTCCAGTCTCTGACCGGCTGCTGCCTGATACCACAGATAGCAGAATTCAGCTGAGCGTTGTTCTGCTGATCAGTGGTGGAAGGTGCTCCATTTAGTAGCAACTTCCTGATGCAGAGCTTTTAGGGAATTCAAGGACTTGCTCTGTCATCATCATCGGAAGTACATATTTTCATTGCTGAGTCAGAAGAATGAAATTGGAGCTGGACCAGATACAAATGGGTGAGTCAAATGAAAGACTATAGCTTCATAACAAATCCCACTGCTGCTGAGACTCCTGGGTTGTGGGTTACCGTGTGGAGTACCACAGCAAATGCCCGTGGCCCATTCATTCATTCAATATATGGTTATGGTACACTTTCTGTGTCTCAAGAATTGTTCTAGGTACTGGGTGGGGACAAAACTGTTAACCAGACAGACAAGGTTACACCCTCACAAAGCTTATCTTGCAATGAAGAGATGTAATTTAGATGATGATGGGGTGAAGAAAACATTAATGGAAAAACTACAGAGTAACTTATGAAAATCACTTACATTAAACCAGACTTTATTGCAGACAACAGAATCCACTCTATCTCATTTAAGAAGAAAGAAATTCTATCTGGTCAGCCCTCCATATCCACAGTTTCTGTGTCTGTGAATTCAAAAACATTTGGGGAAAAAAAAATTACCTGAACCGAACATGTATGGACTTTTTTCTTTGTCATTATTTCCTAAATAATATAGTATAACAACTACTTAAATAGCATCTACATTGCATCAGATGTTATAAGTAATCTAGTATGACTTAAGTATACATATAACACATGGGTTGTGCGCAAATAGCATGCTCTTTTATATAAGGGACTTGAACATCCATAGATTTATATCCACCTGGTGTCCTAGAACTATCTTCCAGGGATACCAAGGGATGACAAATACAGAGCTCAATGACAAAGTAATTGTTAAAAGGGTGGAGGAGTAGGCTCCAGTCTGACCTGTGCACAATTTGGTTTGAGAAGCTGTTGTATTGGGGAAGGTGCCACACCCCTGCCTACTACAGAAGGATTCCAGCCCCCAGTACAATCACAATAGCTGTTGGTTCTGTTGCAGAAGTCCAAATCAGGAAGCTGCCTCTTCCTGCTACAAGTTCCATCCACAGCTACAACTACTTGCTGTGGAATCCTACCACTTCTGCCAGGATCCAAGCCAGCACAATGAAGCTCCGTCCCATCCAAACGAAACCCTGTGAACCACAAAATGGATGCCTTACATTTTATTGATGGAAACGGATTCATGTCTAGAATCCAATTTCCAACAGAATCTGGGAAATGTGGGTTTTAGCTTTTGCATTCTTGGCATAGGAAAAGGTAGTTTTGAATGGATGTTAGACTAGCCAGTCCATGGTAGCTACCACACCACTTTAAGAAGGATAATCAGGGAATGCCTCTAAGGCAACTGACATTTAAGCTAAGATCTCATGAAGGACTGAGGGAGAAACTTTCCAGGCATAGACAAAAACAAGTTCTGGGCATAGTGATTGGGGGACGAAAGAGAATTTAGAAAAGTTAGCAGAAGCTAAATCAAGCAAGGCTTAGAAGATCATAGTGAGGAATTTGCATCTTATTCAGAGTACTTGGAAACCAAAGAAAGTTTTATGAAGGGGATTGACAAAATTTGATTCATATTTTTAAAAGAAAATTCTGGCTGCAAGGTGAAGAATGGATTATTGAGGCACAAAGATATGAGACAAAACAGAAAATTTTTTTGAGAATTAGATATGATGGTGCCTTGGGCTAGGATGTTGGCCAGACAGAAATGAAATTGGCATTTTCTATGTGTATATTGTAGGGAGGACTGCAAGGTTTCAGGATGAATTAGATGTGAGGAGTTACAAAAAGGGAAGCATTAAGGGTTGCTTCTATATTTCTACTACAAACAATGGGGAAATGGTATCCTATTTAATGGTTTGAGGGAAAACATGTCTACAATTGACCACAACATCTAGTTCTTGATATTTAAAAAATAATCTGTCACATAGACATGTTGGAAGTAATCTCAACCACAGAGCCTCATGTTTTGCTCTCCCAACTGGCAACTAATCTCATTACTCAGAGTATCACTGAGGTTCCAAAGAAGAGGGTCTCAATCTCTATGCATGTAAGATACTGACACAGGTATATGTAGACACTGGTATTAAGATTTACATGGTAAAATACATGTGGGCAGTGTAGAATAGTCTGGGGGTGGTAGTATCTAATCTCACAAAAAAAAAGTAATAAAGAGATTTGAAGGAGAAAAATCACATGCTGAAGAGTTGTGGACCACGGCAAGTCACAGCCCTGTGCCATCTTGGTGCAGCAAAATAACCTTCAGCTCACTGACTCCCGTGTCCTTCCCCTGCCCACCTCTCTCCACTCACTTCACCATCAAAACACCTGCTGGAATTAGCAGAAGAGGATGTTTACTGGACTTATACATGAATAATTAAATGATTAAATGATGTCAAAAGCAAAAAATGTAGATTATTGTTTCTTTATAGACATGCATATTCTAAACCATCAGCCTGGGAGCCACCCTGAAGAACAAACAGAAAGATCACAACTCTAAACTCTGCTATAATCTCCTCAACAAATAAATACACCAATAAGAATTAAAAGTCTTGGTAAGAGACAGAATGGGAGAACATACCTGGGCCCTGCCTCTCTTAAGCAATCAGAGCTCTTAGAATAGCTCTGTTGCTGGGGCAGAAGCAAATAATCTCCTGCTCTCCCTGAGCATTAAATCTTCCACATGTCTTCAGCACTCTCCATGGGCATACTGATGCCAAAGCAGAAAAAGATTTAATTTCATGTTGCTAGGTTTTTCACTCTTCTGCAGTTAATAAAGAGGCAGGTGCAGTCAGCTGGGTTGTTAAAAAAGAAAAAAGGAGAGGGTTAAAATTGTTTATTTGACCTACTTCCAATCTCGCTAAATCACAGAATAAGACAATTTATAACTTGTTCCCAGCTCCCATACCTCAATCACTTGCAAGGGAAATGCATCTGAAGGTATTTCACACTTACAAATGAAAATTATTTTGCCAATCACGGCACTCTAAGCCTTGCATGTAAGGATTTTTAAATGCTTTCCTACCCCTCCGTGTATTAAAAAATGTAAGTATATGATCTAGTAAGCTCATGATGAAAGTTACTAGCTGTCAATCTGATGATTTGTAGGTCATGTGGATGGACACTCAGTGCTCTCAGGAGATAAAGGTCAAATGAATGTCATCTATCACTTGAAAAGTGAAGTTGGTCTAAAGAAAGGGGTTGTGTTTTTGCTGTTGTTGTTTTAAAGTGTCTAATAAAATAATCAGTCAACTGCATTTGGCCAATCTCCTTGCTTTGGAACCATCAATTTGAGCTCAGTTTCCATCTTTAGCCCTTTCTTTGACTATGCTAGTGCTTTTGTTAAGTGCTCACACACCAGAGTGGGGAGGAAAAGGCAGAGGGGCAGGAGCCACAATTTGTTATTTTTGTCACCTAATGGAAAAATGGATTCATGTGTAACTTTTCTTTGGAGTCTCTTGGTTCTGAGCAGATGGCAGATATTTAATACACAGCTCTTGAATGTGTCAATGAATCATGGTACCCATCTGGTACAGGCAAATTCTACACTGGGCATTGTGGTTGCTTCTGTAAAATATATTGCACATCTCTCTTCCTGAGGAACAGCCTCAGTTAAAGAGAGGGGTTTGCCTAACTATGGGTAATAGCAACTCCTTTCCAGAGCCTGGCAAAGAAATGGTTTTGTAAACCTTGATTCTGACCCAAGAGACAGGAAGAAAGAGTCCAAGAATCTTCTTGGTTCTTTTATATATACACCTTTATTTATTTTTATGTGGTACTGAGGATTGAACCCTGGGCCTCACACGTGCTAGGTGAGCACTCTACCACTGAACCACAACCCCAGCCCCTTCTTGGTTCTTAAGAGAGAGTTGTAGCAGCTTGGGGGGGGGGGGGGGGGGAGGTGGGGGAGGGCTGAGGCAAGAGGATCACAGGTTCAAAGCCAGCCTCAGCAACTGAGACTCTGTCTCAAAATAAACAATAAAAAGGCTGGGGGTGCGGGACAGTAGCTAAATACCCCTGAGTTCAATCCCCAGTATCCAAAAAAAAAAAAAAAAAAGAGTTATTGAAAGCTGGGGCTTTCTTTTCTCCACTGTAAGTGAAAAAGACTGTCCATAGGTACAGCCGGCAGCCATTTTGTAATCACAAGGAAACCAACTTGAAAGTGAAGCTTAAGTTTAAGACGGCAGAAAGAAGAGACTAAGCAAACCTCACTCTTGGGCTGCAGTGGTAGCTCAGTGGTAGAGTGCTTGCCTAGCACATGTGAGGCACTGAGTTCGATCCTCAACACCACATAAAAATAAATAAATAAAGGTATTGTGTCTGTCTACAACTAAAAAAAAAAAAAATTTAAAGGAGACTCTTGCCCTTTGATGATATTTTCATCATGAAATCAAACATAAAGCTTATTGTCCTTCAGAATTGTCTAAGGCCTAATTAATATCTGTGTTGTTTAAACCAGTTTGAATTCAATATTTTGTTTCTTAGAAATGAATTCAAATAATATACAGACTATGCCATTTTTTTAAAATGGACTTTGTAGAGTTATCTATTAAAATATCTAGTCTTTTAATCACGTAATCAGTAATTACCTTCATATTACTAAAATATTCTTAATAGTCCCTTCTTTTTATAAGACTAATTTTGAGAATTAAAAGGCAATAGAAAATGAGAGCTGATAGCACAGAGCTCCCACAGAAATCATATTCTCCTTTATGTGTTTGAAAGCAAATTTTACACATTTGAGTGCAGTCTTTGGTTTTGTCATTTGGCTATATTTAGATGAGTCTTTTTCTTTTATATTTTATTTATCCCTGGAAATCTCTAATCAAAATCTATACTGAAGCAACTTAAACTAGGTTGTAAAATGGACAAGAAATTCAGTTGTCACTAATTACTTCTTCTTTCACCCACCCAATAAATTACCCATTCTCTCACTGAGTAGAGGTTTGTACAAGACAGTCCATTGTAAGAGAGGATGGCCAATAAGCACATGGACTCAAATCTTGACTCTTCCATTTAGCAGCTTTGTGCCTTTGGGCATTGTAATACCAACCTCTTTAAACTTCCATTTGCCTTTTTGTAAATGAAATACTGTAGTAGTGGTATTTACCTCCTACCATTACTTGGTGGATCACATAAGATAATACACATGAAGCACTTAGCATAGCATCAGCTGGGTAGAAAGTGCTTAAGAGATGTTATTAATATTCACTTTGTGGTGAAAGTGATCAATAGTTTTACCTGAAGGGAAGATGTTGGCATTTTAAAAGTGCAGCTTGACAAACCAAATTATTATCTAAATGAGTGAGGTTTGAGAGAGAGCTCTCCAGCAGGCACAGTGGGGTAGTACCTGCCCTCTCCTTTCTAACATGGATCTCCTGCCTCTCTCACATTGAATTAGTGTGCATCCCTCCTCCATCATCAGAGCACTTGAAAATTAATTCTGATTCTCACATGTAGCTCAGTGAAATAAAAAGTTGTAACACAGCATAATGATGATCTCATGCCTTGATATAGAAACACTCAGAATTATCTTCCTTAAAATCTAGAATACAGGATGAAGAAATAAATGGAGAAAGAGAAAAATTAAATATAATCCGCCTATGTTGGCTCAATTCTAAGAAGCTCGAGAGACTGCTTGAAGGGTGTGGTGGAAGGAGCCTGACTGGGTGGAGGGCTTCTACCTCTCCCAGTAGAGTGTGACCTGGAGCAGGCACAGCCCTCCTCTGGGTAATATTATCCTCACCTTTCAGATGAAGAGTTCCATATGATCAGTGTTTTTCAACACGAGCTGCCAGGGGTGGAAAGGAGAGGGAGGCATGGGAGGAGGAACAGGGGCACAAAGGACCTATCTTTGGGGAACCCTCATTTCCTTTAACCAGAGCAGTTTCATGATCACCTGTTTAACATACTTTTCTTTTTTTCTTTTTTTTAAAGAGAGAGGAGGGGGGGTTTAATATCTATTTTTTAGTTATTGGCGGACATAACATCTTTGTTTGTATATGGTGCTGAGGATCGAAACCGGGCTGCATGCATGCCAGGCGAATGCACTACCACTTGAGCCACATCCCCAGCCCCATAACATACTTTTCAATAAAAAGTTTGGACAGACACACAAGAAAGCTTACCTCAAGGGTCTCCAAGGCCCCTTCCTACTCCAACTTTCCAAGATTCTCCTCAAATGACTGGTTCTCCAAACCTCTCAGCCCAGCCCAAGGTTTTCTTTCCACTGAATTCACAGGGAGTGTTGTCAACTGTGCTGCCTCTCTGCACTGTCTGTTCTAGGATGACCTGGAAGACCAGGACTTCACAGCCCCTTGACCAGGACATCTGGAGTATCATGCTAATGAGCCCTGCAGAGACACCCAGATGAGGGAAGATGGGGGAACCAGTCTATTTATCCATTCCTATAACTTTTTTGATGTTTTTCCCCTTCTTTGCGGTGCTGGGGATTGAACCAGGGCCCCATGCATGCCAGGTAAGCACTCTGCCTCTGAGCCCCATTCCTAGTCTGCCCTCCCAATTCTGAAAGCAGAAACAGAGGAGTTTGGTCTAGATGTTGCACAAAAGGATCTTGAACTGAGCTTTTTTTCTGAAGCTACTGTTTTTTATCCATTTCTCTAAGGACTTTTAAGGTCCTCAGAGAAAAAAAGACTAAAGAGATCATATCTGAGCACCCTTAACACATTTGCTTTACTTGTGGTCAACACACTGTAAGAGTTGAGATGGAGTTTATCAGGCAAAATGCCATGGTCTATGTAAAACTGGGTTTCGTTGCTCAGAAACAAGGATTTGCAACTTTAATTTTCATCAAACACAATGATAGATTATTCTTGAGACAGTCCATTTATACAAATCCCTTACATTTTTTCTTTTATTAAATTCTGAAGTAGTCCAAGCATACCAAAAAAAAAAAAAACTGTAGAAAGTAAGAACATTCTTGCATCCACCATTCAGCTTTGTTAAAGCTTAAATTGCCTATATCTTCAGAGCTTCCAGGGATTTTTAGGAGAAAAACATTACAGCTATGATAAAAGCCCCCTGTGTTTTAACCCTCATTCCCATTTTTCTGCTTCCTATGTTTTCCTTTAAGAAACAAGTATTATCTTCAATTTGTTATTTTTTTCACTTAAATTTATGTTTTCATATTTCCTATAAGTGTACGTATACTCAGAAGTAAAATGTAACATTAGTCTTCAAGATTTGGGTTCAAGATTTAGACTCTTAAGGTGAATTCACATTAAGTTATGAAGTCTAGACCCCATTGTTTCAGTATAAGATGCCCTTGTATGAAGATACCTCAACTTAAATCTCCAGTGGATAGATATTAATGCTGTTTCCAGTCTCTCTCAATTACAAGTGATGCTCCATGGAATGCTCTTATCCACATATGAAAACATTTTTCTAGACTAGTAAAGAACTTCTGGAGAGAAAATTAAGCTTGTTTTAAATTTTACTTGAGGCTACTAAATTGCTTTCCAAGGTGTTTATTCCCAATGAAGTTCCCACCAGCAAAGTGCAAATGTTCCCTTGCTCAAAACCCTCATCAGTACAAGAACTGGCAGGTTTCTCCATTTTTGCAAACTGGTAGATTATGTATATATATATATATATATATATAATTAACTTTTTCTTCATAACTGGAGCCATTCATGTTTCAATTGTGAATTGCCTGTTCTTATCTTTGCCTATTCTAACGTTGACTTATCTTTTTCTGTTGATAGTAATACTAAACATTGCATAAGTTTTAAAGTAAAAAGGGTCATATTGAC